CTGACAGGCTTGGGGCCATGATCACTTCCCTGGGGAGCTTGTTTTGACGCTTGACCACCCTGTCAGTGAAGAACTTTTTCGTAATATCCAATCTGAACTTCCCCTGGTACTGCTTTAAGCCATTCCCTTACACCCTATCACCATTGTCCTGGTTTCGGCTGGGATAGGGTTAAATTTCTTCCTAGTGCTGTGGTTTGGATTTAGTATGAGGAGAATGTTGATAACCCACTGATGTTTTCAGTTGTTGCTAAGTGCCCTCCTAGTCCAAGGGCAGCTCCCATGCCTGCTGACTGAGCTAGGTACACAAGATGGGAGGGAACATAATCAAGACAGCCAGCCCAGCTGGCTAATGGGGTATTCCATACCATGTGACGTCATGCTCAGTATATGAATGGTAGGCGTGATCCAGGAAGTACCGATGGCTACTTAGTTATCGGTCAGCGGGGGTGGTGAGCAATCGCATTGTGCATCACTCATTTTGTATGTTCTATCATTATTATTATTATTTTCCCTTTTCTGTTCTATTAAACTGTCTTTATCTCAACCCACGAGTCTTTCTCACTCTCACCCTTCCGATTCTCTCCCCACCCCACCGGTGGGGAAAGTGAGAGAGCGGCTGCCTGCCAGGTTAAACCACAACAACCATACACCAGAGGGAAGAGATCAGCACCTCACTTGCCACTCCCCCTCATTAGGAAGTTGTAGACAGCAATGCGGTCACCCCTCAGTCTCCTCTTCTCTAAACTGAACAAACCTAGTATCCTTAGCCATTCCTCATAAGTCATGCCCTCTAGTCCTTTCACCACCTTTTATGCCCTCCTTTGGACACATTCAAATATTTTTATATCCTTTTTATATTGCAGAGCCCAAAACTGCACACAGTACCTGAGGTGAGGTTATACCAATGCTAAGTATAGTGGTACAATCACTTCTTTTGACCGGTTAGCTATACTGTGCTTAACGCACCCCAGGATACGGTTGGCCCTTTTGGCCACCAGGGTACATTGTTGATTCATCAGCCAAAACCTCCAGATCCCTTTCTGCAGAGCTGCACTCCAGGTTCTTGTCCCCCAGTGTATATGTACATCGAGGATTATATTGTCCCAGGTGCAGAATCCAGCATTTGTCCTTGTTAAATTTCATGCCGTTGGTGATTGCCCAGCACTTTAATCTACCAAGATCTCTCTGTAAGACCTCTCTACACTCAAGGTAATCAATGGTTCCTCCTAATTTAATATCGTTGCCAAACTTAACTTACTGTGCACTTAACTCCCATTTCCAGGTCATTGATACAAACACTGAAGAGAACTGGACCTAAAATTGAGCCCTGGGGAACACCACTAGTGACCGGCCACCACCCAGCCAGATGTTACCACATTTACTACAACCGTTTGAGTCTGACCCTTCAGCGAATTGTTTACCCATCATGTTGTGTACATGTCTAGCTGTATGCTGGATATTTTGTCCAGAAGGATGCTGTGAGAGACAGTATCAAAAGTTTTGCTAAAACCCCAAAAAACCGCATCCATTACCTTCCATTCATCTACTAGGTGGGTTACCTTGTCATAAAAGGATATTAAGTTAGTAAGGCATGACTTTCCTTTCATGAACCAATATTGGCTTTGATGGATGACTGCATTGTCTTTCAAGTGTTTTTTAATAACTCCCAGAATAATCTCCATATTTTTACCAGGCACCGAAGTGAGACTAACAGGCCTATAATTACCAGGTTCTTCTTTTTTGCCCTGTTTGAAAATTAGAATAACATTTGCTAGCTTCTAGTCAACTGGGACCTCTCCAGATTCCCAAGACCATTGATAAATAACTGAGTGAGGTCTCACAATATCGGCCAACTCTTTCAGTTCCTGGGATGAATCCTATTGGGGCCCATAGACTTATGTGCATTCAGTGGCAGCATCAAATCCTGTACAAGTTCAAAGACAACTAGGAGCTTATCACTCCCCTAGTTGCCAACTAAGGCCCTCCAACCCTGGGCTCCGGGGGTCCCAGGGCCCATCATTGGTGTTAAAGACAGAGGCAAAGAAGGCATTAAATGTCTCTGCTTTATCTTTATCCCTATTTGTGAGGTGACCAACCTTATCAAGTAACAGACCACTGTTTTCTTTAGTCCTTTTGCTGTTAACATACTTTAAAAAGCCTTTTTTTAATCCAGCAGAGTACTGGCCAGCTTCAACTCCAACTGAACATTGGCTGTATGAATTTTCTCCTTACAGTGGTGAACGGCATCTCTGCAGTTCTCCTATGTAGCCTGACCTTGCTTCCAAAGTCCATACACTTTCTTTTTCCTCCTAAGTTCCAGAAGTAGATCCCTGTTCAGTCAAGCCAACTTCTGCCCTGCTTGCTTGACTTCCAACACATTGGAATTGCCTGTTCCTGTGCTCTTGAAAGATGGCTTTCAAAAACTGACCACTAAGAAAGATGAATCCCATCAGGCCCCATCAGAGCTGGTGTCACTTAGATCACCCCATGAATGAAAAACCCAAAATTCTGCCGGTAGCACCAGCTTCGGTGTCAGGTATTGATAAACTGCGTCTGCCTGTTTCTTTCAATGTCATTCCATAGAACTGGGAGGATAGAGGAGAGACAATGTGATGTGAGACAATAGAGGAGATTTCAGAGCCAAGAAAACTAAAAATTTAAAATTCAGCCTTAAAGACAATGAAAAGACAACATCTAAGCAATCTTTTTTGTCCTTGGAATGCTGAACTCAGCTTCTTTAAAAAAAAAAAGTCTCATCTTAGAAGGAAAAAAGCTTGTCATTTTCAAAAAACACCTTTTCTACAGATTCTGTTGGTATTACAATACAAAATTTTGCTGCCAGTACAGAAAGATCAGTAACAAATTATCTTAATACGTTCTGTTCCATCTGGCTCTGCCTGCTCCTCACTCTGCTTCTGCTTGAACTTCAAATTCCCATAGTGCATGACAGCCCCTGTCAGCTTGTAAATGGCTGTTTTCTCATCAGCAGTGAAGCCCAGGATGTCAATGGCACTCTGGCAACAGAATCAGTCAAATAAACCTCTGGCCCATTAAATGGAACTTTCACCACACCAATATGCTCGGTGTCACTTACATCTGTAGCCATCAGCTCTTCCTGGTCATTAATGCTGGCAACAGTGATCTCACCTTGACTCACAAATTGGTAGTCGTATGGGTTGGTGGTAATGAGGAGCATGTCTGTAAAGAGGAATAGGACATATTCAGGTGTAAGAATGAAGAGAAATGTTAAACACTTTCAGATTCCATCAAAAAATTTATAATACTTCTTACCAATTAGCTCTGGCTTCTTGTTGGACATGATCTGATAAAAATGTGGTAGCTTCTTTCTGCCTTGAGCTGGAAAGCGACTCTGGACTTCTCCAGCAGATCTGGCAAGGATGGTAGGACAGAGTTAGGCCTGAGAAAGTACACTGAGGTAGAAAGGGAGGAAGGAATGTGATCAGGTCAGGAGGTCTCTTACATGTTTTAATGTCAGCAGAAGCCAGTTTGCTTGTGACCCCAAAGTGAATCCTGATGAATTTACCCGTAAGAGAAGGGGGAAAAAAAAAGAGACGACAGTTTTAAAAAGAGGATAAGTAAGCTGAATTTGGAGAACAGAGGGAACTCTACTTAATAAAGGGAGTTATAGAGAAGTCAGAGCTAGACTTTTCTCAGAGGTTTACTAGGAAAACACAAATGACAACATCACACATTGCAGCAAGAGAAATTCTGACTAGACATGGAGACCAACATTTTTACATTTTAGGAGAGTTTTAGGTAAGGTACCCAGAGGCTCTGGAATCTCTACTACTGGAGATTTTCAAAACTTGACTGTATTAGGCCCCGAACAATCTGACCTAGATTTGAAGTAAGTCCTACTGAGGGCTGGACTAGAGAATGAACATTTTATACAGTGAAAAAAAAATGTATATATCATTCTACCAGTTTAACATTTCAGGATATATTCGTATTGAAAGTATACTTACTTTCCATTTTAAGTTTATTTCTGTCATTTGTATGTGTATTCATTCTATCAGTTTCAGTACTTACCTATAAAATGAGGAAATATTTGAGGAAACATGAATATGAATTTCTTATCACTGACCTTCAATAACAATACACTTCTTCCCACTTATAAACTGAAGCTGGTTTTGACTGAAAACTCACAAAGCATGAGGAGTTGTCATTCCCCACAGTCTTGGCATTTCCAAAGGCCTCCAGCAGTGGGTTGGCACTGATGATTTGATCCTCAAGCGTTCCCTGCAGGATAATTACTGTTAAACCACATAGTTCAATCCACATACATAACAACTGCAGAACTAGACAAAATGTTAGTAACTGGTAACTCACATGCATTTTGCCTGACGGCTGCTTCTCCTTCTTCTTCTCCCCACTCGCTGCAGTTGTTGCAAAGTACTGGATGACACACTTTGTGTTCACAGTCTTCCCTGCACTGGATTCTCCACTGCCAAACCAAAGAGAGAGGCAGAGAACATATGGTCAGGCAGGTGGTCCCCTGACACTGGGGTGCCCTGTAGGGACCTGAGCAGGGGGTGTACATATGTGATCAGGACTGACTGGTTCTCGCGATCTGTATAAGAGACAGAAACAAAGAAACTTAAACACCAATGAACAATACAGAAAATACTAAAAGTGGTCTAAAAATAAGATATCATGATCATTGTGTGACAAAAATATTTGTTTGGCAGTTAAGTAACTCCCCTCAGTAATACTCCGCCTTAGGAAAGATTTTGGATTCTATCAAAAATGGAACTTTTCAGCAAAGCTTTTTTCCCCCTTTCTTTTCCTTTCCTTTGTTCATTCATCTTTTTATCAAAGACAAAAGAATTAATATTTTCTAATGTATGTTTTTTCACCATCTTCATTTTCTCTTTTGATTTTTTGCTAGGGTTTTTGCAAATCTTCAGAGTTGAGTATGTTTTAAAAGTTAGAGAGTGAAAAAAAAAGAAAAGAAAAGAGAAAACATTCAAATGAAATTAAAATTGCAGGTTAATGTTAGGTTACATGATAAAAGCTCATATGCACCCCCGCCCCCAGCATAGAAAGTCAATGGCAAGTGGGGGAGTCCAAATAATACCCTGTCCCAGCTGTTTCTAGGCCCATCAAAGGAACCATCAGCCCATTGAAAACATATTCTCTCTTTCTGTACTCCAGGCATTATTCTTTCAGGCATGTATTTACTTGGCTGCAGAAGATTAAAGCAGACATCTTACCAGAAAAAGATTCCATATGTATATCTAAATTAACTTTGTAATGTAATCCAGGGAGTGATTCTTATTCATTCAAGCCATTAGCCCAAAGACACACAAATTCATATGATTCATGGCCAGTTCCCTCTAGAATACACTGTTGCCTGCTTGCAGTTGAGTAGGATTTGGAATAATCCCTGACTCAACACTCAACACCTATACCATGTTGCCATACCTGATCTTAATTCTTTACTCACTGAAGTGACTCACAACACTATTCCTCACACACGCTCAACTTCTTGTTTCCAGCATATTATGCACATCACACAGCCTTGTGCACTCCAATTTTACCACATGACTAGGCAGATACATGCATGACAAAACTTTTGTCATTTTTAGTTTTCATTATTTCAACTGGAACTGCTCAGACCTGCACTCATGCAATCCACCCCACCATGTCCCATAGGCAGTCACAGAGATTTCTACAGTAGGGAACTCATCAAATGTTTGGTAGGCCGGGGTAGCTACAGCACACTGCTACAAGAGGAGGCCACTTTTTTGGCTTGAAACACTCTGATTATTTTCTTACTGTTCTTTAAGAATTTATATCTTTTTATACTGTTGTCTGAAAAGCAGATTCCTGCCCGGCGTGCAAGTAACCAATTCCACACGCTCAGGAGATTGTTTTATTCAAGCATGGGTGCTTGGTGGACTTGCCACAAATCAAGTACACCTGGTCTAGTCACCTTTCTGTTTATATCCATGCTTCTCATACATATTTTAATTTTCTCTTTTACATATCCATTACATTTCCAAGAACTAATTGTAATATTACATCATCCTAGACACATGTGCACTAAAGCCTTTCGGGTCTCCTTGCAGGTCTCGGGTGGTCTCTGGTGGTCGGCAGGGTAGTGATCTCTTCATGAACCTGTTCCTTTCTTTCCTTATAAGGTTGAGGTTTGTGTCTGAGCCACGTCTGGACCACATTTGTTTATGGTTCTCGTTTCCAAGGTTACTCTTCACTAGAGTCTAACAATGCTTCCAGGATACACGATTTATACTAGTTACAATTCTACGCACCTGCAAACACAACAGCTGCTAGTTACCTAACTTCTAAGCAACAAGTCTTCATTGTTTAGAATTACAGAAGCGAGGAGTAGAATTACAGAAGCGAGCAGTATGGAATAGTAGATACTGTAGCTGCTGCATCAGTACTGTGCCCAAAAAAAGGAGAAAATGGCTTTATTGCCCACTGAAAGAATGTTTTTGCAACATAAAGCTTGGATGTGCACTGTTGAAACACTGAAATGGTATGTTAAGGTGCTAAATCTACTGTGATACCATTGAGGGACTTAAACAAGAAGAGGAAAAAAGATCTGGAGTAATTCACTCTACGCTATTTATTGTAATAGTTCTTAGAGCTAAACACAGCTTCTCTCAGGTTTAGTTTAAAGGGACACGGAGAATCTCTGGAGTAACACAATATGGGTAATTTGGGAAATGACCCTGGAAAGAAACGATCCAAACTGAGACTTTAGACACAACTTGTTATTCCCCTGAAAGGTATTCACCGTATAATTGCCTTAAGGGAGTTACAACCACTCACCAGTTAGCATGAACTGATAGGCATCATCAGAGATGGAGAAGATGTGTGGAGGGGCCTCCTGGCGCTTCTTGCCTCGGTAGGCCAACACCATCTCTGGGTTGTACACTGGCAGCCACTTGTAGGGGTTGACAGTGACGCAGAAGAGACCCGAGTAGGTCTGCAAGGAAGGGAGACAGCACGTTGGCTTCCACTTAGTCTAGCAAAGGAGTTCCTTCTAGTTACCCAGAAGAATACTGCTGCTGGTACTTACGTAGATCATCCAGGCTGCATAACGCTCTTCGAGGTTGTACAGCACAGCGGGTTCATGGAGGTGGATCATCATGGCCATGTCCTCGATTTTATCGTACTTGGGAGGGTTCATGGGGAAGACTTGATCATCCTTCACAGTCAGAGTCTGACACAGAAAAGAGAGATGCATGTATGTCAGGTAAGAGCTGAGACTGAGAATCAAATGGTGTCCTTCAGCCTGGTTTTTCCCTCACATCTCCACCTTGTCTTGTCAGTGACCTTCCCTGACTCTTTGCTCTGGATTGTTCCTTTCACAATGGATTTCTTCAGATGCACCACAAAGATGGATGACTTGGCATCAAAAGGCTTGTTCTGGGCTTTGATTCTTTCCTTTTCTGACTTTTGGAGACACACAGCTGCCTCCCCAAAGACAGCCATCTCAGCATCCGAAGACATGGCTGCAGTTTATTTGGGCTACACCTGTAGAGAACTCTGATGGGCAAAATGTTATTTCATGACAAAACTGTCTTCAAAAGGATTAAATCTCTCCCATCAGAGGCTTGCTTTATGATCAGTCTGGTGGCAACAACAATTTAAGTTATTCCTGCCCTGTCACGCCATGGCGTGCTATACCCTCAGCTGTGTTAGCACAAATATTTTTTTATAAACATTAAATGAATCCACCTTTAGAAAATAAAAGAAAAAGTTTTTTTCCCATCAGCCAGTTCTAGGATACAGGTCAGAAAAAGGTCTTACTAACAAGCAGGAACAGTAACTTCAGTTCTAATGGTGTGCTTCAGAGTGAAGACAAACTTTTCAGAAGTACCCATCAAAATGAAAGAGAGAGCTGTTCCTCATTCAGTAGTCTGGCTTTAAACATCTAAAATTTGTACAGGCTCCAAAGAGCATCTCTTTTTACTTTACATGCCTTCCTGGCAGATACTCTTGTATCTTTGTTGAAAGCCACCCTTCAGGCATTATAAATAGTTCACTTTAGCTAGCTTCTCCCTTGCATTTCTTCCCCTTTAGAAAGACACACACTGAAAGACAAGGTTATATATGCTTTATTTACTACTTGCAAATTGAGCCATGATTGCCATTTTAAGAGCTACAGTCGGTCATTTCCTGGTTTTGAAAACTTGCTAATGGGGAAAAAACTAGTTTCATTGGTGTTTCTCTAAATGCAGTCCGCAGCTCCTATCCAAGTAAAGATATTCAAATGTATCAAATTCAATAAAGAACAGACTAAGAATAATAAAGAACTGCACTTCGGCCACAACAAC